CCCGGGCTGCCCTGCCCCACCAGCTGGGGGGAATGCAGAGGGATGGGGGAGGATGGGATGGGATGGGATGGGATGGGATGGGATGGGATGGGGAGCCCCAGTGGTCTGGGGGACAGTGGGGATGCAGAGGGGCTGGGGGATTAGGGGCAGGAGGCAGGGGAATTAGGGGTAGCAGGGCAGGGGGCTACACTGCCCACCCTGCCTGGCCCTGGCTGCCCCATCACACCAGCTGGGAGGGATGCAGAGTGATGGGGGAGGATGGGATGGGGAGCCCCAGTGGGCTGGGGGACAGTGGGGACGCAGAGGGACTGGGGCAGGGGGATTAGGGGCAGGAGGCAGGGGAATTAGGGGTAGCAGGGCAGGGGGCTACACTGCCCACCCTGCCTGGCCCTGGCTGCCCCATCACACCAGCTGGGAGGGATGCAGAGTGATGGGGGAGGATGGGATGGGGAGCCCCAGTGGGCTGGGGGACAGTGGGGACACAGAGGGGCTGGGGCAGGAGGATTAGGGGCAGCAGGACAGGGGATTAGGGGACTGCTCTGTGTGCAGGTTGGGGCTCAGGCTGGCGCAGCCCCCTCCCCAGGGACCCTGCCTGCTGCTGGCAGCTGAGCCCGGGTTTGCTGATCAAAGCTCAGGAGGGGGGACACACATGGGGACAGGGGGCTTTTCCAGCCTCCTCTCCTCCTGCCATTAAAGGCAACAGGGCTGGGAGTGCAGCTGGGACCTGCCTGATGGGGCAGTGAGCCCTACAGAGCGGGGATGGTGGGGACCCTGAGGCAGTGTCCCCCTCCAGCCTCAGGAGAGCAGAGCCCAGCCAGACCCAGTGCCTCCCCCAGCACCCCTCTGGGCTCCAGCCCCCCGCAGCCTGGGGACACCAGTGGCCCCAGTTGGATGCCCGCACCAGTTTTGAGGATGAGGAGGTGCAGGGCATCATCGCGCAGGTAGGACGCCGCGGCGATCTCGTGGGTGGGGATGCGCAGGATGAGCTCCTCGTTGTCGCGCCAGGTGAGCAGGAGGCAGCGTGCGGAGAGGCTGAGGATGCTGTCCTGCTCCGGCGTCGTCTGCAGCGGCAGCTCCTTCAGCTGCTGCGGGGGCAGAACAAGTGCCAAGGGCATGGGGACACGCAGCAGCATGGGGGGGCACACACTGGAGGTGTCAGGATCCCTCTTACCCTGGCTGTGTCCAGCAGCTGCAGCACCTCATCCCGGCTGGAGGGGTTCAGGGAGGCTGTCACCCATGTCAGGTGGCCTAAAAACTGTGGGGGGGACACAAAACCCTGGGCAGCTTGTGGGGGGGCTGGGGCTATGCATCCTCCCTACCCCATGGCTTGGAGCCTCCCCCAGAGCACCCACATCCATATGGGCAGGATGCATCTCCCTGGGGTGCAGAGAGATCCTGCAACAAGGGGGTCCTCCCTGAACCCCCAGCCCACCTTCCCCCTCCCTTGGTGTTGCCCAGGCAGGGAGGGGACCAGGAGGACCCGGGGGGGGGACCACCTGGCCACTGCAGGTGGTGTCCCTCTGTGTGGTGTAGTGGCCTCGTCACCCCCACCATGCACTGGCAGGGACCCTGGGCATCCCTGGTGACACTCCACCACCCTTACCTTCACCTCCTTCTCCACGTAGTCGTGCAGCAAGATCTGGGGGTCGATCAGGTAATCGGGGGGGTAGAGGGGCACCGAGTGTAGCGGCCGCCGGTAGACGCTGCTGCGGAGCGCCGACCTCCGAGCCGCTTTGGGGAACACCAGCCTCTTGATGGGCGACACAAAGCCCTGGGAGGGACAGCAGGCACGGGGACACATCAGCACCAGCCACCCAACCCTGGCACCCACACAGGGGGTCTGCAGGCACCCAGTGCCCTAGGAGGGGCCGCTCACCTCTCTTCTCCCAAATTTGCACCATTTGAGTGGTTTGGGAGGCAACGAGTGGGGACCCCACCTCTCCCCACCGTACCACAGGAAGGTTGCAAGGCCACTCGTCCCCGTGTTCCCGTGTCTTACCCACTCCCACCCTCCTGCCACCCCCCACCCCGGGACACCAGCCCCAGGCCCACGCACCTTCTTCCCCTTCTTGGCCTCGCCGTCCATGGCGGGGCCGCGGCGCTGCCTCCCGGCACGGCCGCCCCCACCGCCCCGCTCGGCGCCGCTGCCTTTTCCTGTGTCGGAAACTCCACCAGGACGGCCGGGATGTGAGTTCCTGCCCCTCCTGGGGGGGTGCTGGGACTGGGCTGGCCTGGGCTGGGACTGGGACAGGACTGAGACTGGGACTGGGATTGGGACTAGAGCTGAGACTGCGGGTGGAAGTGTGATTTTGACCGGGGCTGGGACTTGGAGTGGGGCTGTGCTGGTACTTGGGCAGAAACAGGGGCTGAAGTAGGCTGGGGTGGGACTGGAGCAGGGGCTTGGACTGGGGCTGGGGCTGGTGCTGGGCTGGAACTAGAGCTGGTGCTGGGCCGGGATTTGGGCAGCGGCAGGGGCTGAATTAGTCTGGGATGGGACCGGAGCAGGGGATAGGACTGGGTCTGGGTCTGGAGGTGTCCATGGGACCTGGCTGCAGAGCAGCCCCTGCCCCTCACTGCTGCAGGGCTCTCCCCTGGGCCTGGGTCTGCTCCGTTGCCCCACAGCCCCACATCAGCCCCATCCCCATGGGGCAGCGCTGAGGGTTCCTGGGCCCCCAGTGCCCGATGAGGGGTCAATCACCTCTCTTCTCCCAAATTTGCACCATTTGAGTGGTTTGGGAGGCAACGAGTGGGGACCCCACCTCTCCCCACCGTACCACAGGAAGGTTGCAAGGCCACTCGTCCCCGTGTTCCCGTGTCTTACCCACTCCCACCCTCCTGCCACCCCCCACCCCGGGACACCAGCCCCAGGCCCACGCACCTTCTTCCCCTTCTTGGCCTCGCCGTCCATGGCGGGGCCGCGGCGCTGCCTCCCGGCACGGCCGCCCCCACCGCCCCGCTCGGCGCCGCTGCCTTTTCCTGTGTCGGAAACTCCACCAGGACGGCCGGGATGTGAGTTCCTGCCCCTCCTGGGGGGGTGCTGGGACTGGGCTGGCCTGGGCTGGGACTGGGACAGGACTGAGACTGGGACTGGGATTGGGACTAGAGCTGAGACTGCGGGTGGAAGTGTGATTTTGACCGGGGCTGGGACTTGGAGTGGGGCTGTGCTGGTACTTGGGCAGAAACAGGGGCTGAAGTAGGCTGGGGTGGGACTGGAGCAGGGGCTTGGACTGGGGCTGGGGCTGGTGCTGGGCTGGAACTAGAGCTGGTGCTGGGCCGGGATTTGGGCAGCGGCAGGGGCTGAATTAGTCTGGGATGGGACCGGAGCAGGGGATAGGACTGGGTCTGGGTCTGGAGGTGTCCATGGGACCTGGCTGCAGAGCAGCCCCTGCCCCTCGCTGCTGCAGGGCTCTCCCCTGGGCCTGGGTCTGCTCCGTTGCCCCACAGCCCCACATCAGCCCCATCCCCATGGGGCAGCGCTGAGGGTTCCTGGCCCTCACTGCCCTGTCCTGCCTGGCATCTGCGGGGCCATGGCACAGGGAATGGCACTGACTGGAGCCCGTGTAGCTGCATCCAGCACCCCATCCTCGTGACCACCCATGGGTCCTGAGCCCCCTGTGGGTTTGGGGGTTGGCTGGGGATCGGGGCCTCCAGCAGGGAGGAGATTGTCCCTGCAGCCCTGGCGACAGGGACAGGGCTGTGTCCAACGGCTTCCTCCCCGGCACACTGCATCCTGCCCGTGCACCCCTTCCCTGCCGGCCACCAGCACCAGCCAGGACCACTGACACCAGACGGGCAGCACCACGCCGGGATTTGGGCAGCGGCAGGGGCTGAATTAGTCTGGGATGGGACCGGAGCAGGGGATAGGACTGGGTCTGGGTCTGGAGGTGTCCATGGGACCTGGCTGCAGAGCAGCCCCTGCCCCTCACTGCTGCAGGGCTCTCCCCTGGGCCTGGGTCTGCTCCGTTGCCCCACAGCCCCACATCAGCCCCATCCCCATGGGGCAGCGCTGAGGGTTCCTGGCCCTCACTGCCCTGTCCTGCCTGGCATCTGCGGGGCCATGGCACAGGGAATGGCACTGACTGGAGCCCGTGTAGCTGCATCCAGCACCCCATCCTCGTGACCACCCATGGGTCCTGAGCCCCCTGTGGGTTTGGGGGTCGGCTGGGGATCGGGGCCTCCAGCAGGGAGGAGATTGTCCCTGCAGCCCTGGTGACAGGGACAGGGCTGTGTCCAACGGCTTCCTCCCCGGCACACTGCATCCTGCCCGTGCACCCCTTCCCTGCCGGCCACCAGCACCAGCCAGGACCACTGACACCAGACGGGCAGCACCGCCACAGCCCTCCTGCTCCGTCCCCCAGGGCCCCCGAGAACCCCTGGATGGAGGGGCAGCATCCTGCCCTGGTGAGGAGCTCAGGGCAGGAGCCAGAGGTGCTGGCAAGGACAGGTTCCCGCAGGCAGGGCTTATTGAAATGAATTTAATATCTCATGTCGCAGCAAAATTAAAAATATACAAAAAGTTTGTGGTATACAAAAAAGTCTTGGTACGGACCACGGCCTACCGCTTGCCCCCCGCCCCCGCCGAGGGTCCCAGAGAAGAAGGTGGCACACAGAGTATTTACAGTACATGACAGTGGCCGCCAGGTCCCGGCACTGGAGGGGGGGAGTGGAGACGTGGCTGAGACCCCCCCAGCAGCCCCACCGGGAACAAATGGCCCCAGCTCAAACCTCTCCCTGCTTCCTGAAGCCAGGAGAGCCCCACTGCCACCCACGGGGTGACACCCCCCTGAGGACCAGGACCCCCGTCCCCAGAGGGAGCACAAGCACCCCTGGAGCTGCCCCCATCCCACATCACCTGGCTTGGCCCCAGGTTGTCCCCCCTTGCCACAGGGGGGTGACTGAGCCCCAGGGCCAGGGTCAGGTCCCGTGGCTGCCCTGTGGCACCCACACAGCTCGGTGCCTCCTGCCGCTGCTGAGATCCCTGCCCGGAGCAGCCCGGGGCTGAGGGTACCGTGGCTTGAGTGCATAGAAAAGTGTCCCTCTGTCCTGCCGGTGCGGCTCTGGGGTCCCCACGCAAACCCTGGGGGTGAAGGGCATGGAGGGGGGCTGCAGATCACCCCAACCAGCGGCTCCTCCTGGCCTGTGAGGGGCTCGGGCTGGGGGGAGCCAGGAGAGCCACCCCACACAGGTCCCGGATCCCCCATGTGGTCCATCCCTGGTGGCTCCCTGGCTCCCCTGGCAAGGAGAAGTTAGTGCCAGCCCCAGCCCAGCTCCCATGGCCACTGCCCCCACCTTCCCTGAGGAAAAGAGACCCCCCAGAAGAGCCACCCCATGCCCAGTGCTGTCCCCAGCACGGTCAGAACCTCCCACTGGGATCTGCCCATCACCGGCAGCGAAGGAAGGGTGTGGGTTGCCAGGGGTCTGTCCTGCTGCCCACCCCCAGGCATCATTTACACCCTCCTCCAAAAGGGTTTCCGAGGCTTCCAGTTAGCACCAGTTAGCACCAGTGACCCCAGCGACAGCCCACCCCAGCCCGCTGTTACTCTGGCCTTCCAGCTACAGAGAAATGGGAAAAAAAAAAGCAAAACAACGTGATGCCACTCTGTGCCAGGGGGCCAGGCACCCACACTGTCCCTTGGGGACCCCATAGCCCAACCAGGTGGGTGGCAGCCAGAGCCATTCCCAGGGGCAGCTCCCCAACACCAGCCCTCCCCGCGGCCAGCGCGGTTCCTCATGGGGTTCCTCATGGGGTGGCACGATGGGGCTGATGCGGGGATGCCCACACTCCCCTGCCCAGGGCTTGGCACTGTGGCATGGGGCAGCCAGGACTGGTGTGGGGGGGAAGGGGTGTGTGGGGAAGGCACAGGGACCATGGGGGCGAGGGGTGGAGGTGATGCACAGCCGCGGGGTCCAGCAGCTCCCCTGCCCTGCAAACCCCTGCCAGCCCCCTGCACACACACACACACGCACATGCGTGTGCCAGGGGGGCACAGGGTACATTCAGCACAGCCCTTCAGGTGGGGCCACACCAATGGATCCGGGCAGGACCAGGGGACACATTCAATCCCAGAGCCTGGGGCAGCCCCACTCCTCTGGGGAGGCAGGGGCAGGCAGGGGCAGGCAGGGACAGGCAGGGGAAGAGGCAGGGGCAGGCAGGATCCCGGCTCACGGTTATACTGGGGAGCTGGAAGGGGCTGATGCTGATGGGTGGATGGATGGAAATGCTCCCAGGTGGGAAGTGATGCCAAACCTGGGAGGGGAGAACATCTCAGGGCAGGGGGCGGGGGTGAATCCCACTTTGGGGAGCCCCAGGAATGCTGACAGCCCCGCACACCCCCCCCCAAGCAATGCCAGCCAGACCCTGCCTCCCCCGGCCTCAGTGGAGGTAGAAAATGTCACACAAAATGTCACTATTCAGGTGAAAACAAACCAAATGAGATGAAGCGGTTCCCATGGGGACAGAGGGGACAATGGGGCACAGCCATCCCCTGCTGCCCCAGCTCGGTGCCAGGGGGAGCAGGGTCAGTGCCTGCCTGTGAGGGGCTCCCCTGGCCCAGGGTCTGCACCCCACAAGTCAGCAGGGACCCCAGGGCAGAGGGGAGCCAGGAGACATGGGGGGGCTGGCCGTACCCCATCTGTCCCCTGCGCTGGCTCCTGGGGGGTGACAGGAGCCCCCCACACACTCCAGCCCCACGGCAGAGGAATGGGGCTGCCCCAGCACCCGTGTCCCCACGTGTTGCCCACCTCAGTCATGCCCCACCATGCCCCATGCCCCTTGTAGCCACCAGCCCCCAGCCCGGGGATGCCCCCAGTCCCCATCCTGCACCACCGACCCCGTCAAGCGCTGTGGGGCCACAGCACCCACCGCCTTGGGCTGAGGCACCGGTGAGGTATTTTGGCAAGGACAAGCCCCGGGGAGAGCTGGGGTGGCCGCTGTGTGGTGAGGACAGGGGTCTCGGCTGCAGGAGGGTGGCACGGGGAGGGGGATAGCACCAAGAGACCTCCCCAGCTTCCACCCGTGGGGTGCTCAGCATGGCAGCGCGGCAACACCGGCCAACCCAACAGAAAGGCAAACGGCTGTGAAGACGCGGGGCGGCGGGGATGGCACCGGGAGGGGCCCTGCCGTGGCCCCACAGCCCCCACCCTACACGGTGGTCTCATACTCCAGCACCTCCTGGGGAGCACCGGGGGTGCGGTACTGCAGGCGCGGGGTGGTGGGCGACGCGTACTCCAGTGCCAGGATGGTTTTCCGCAGGCGCCGGTCGATGAAGTGGGCGTCCCAGGCCGGGTACTTCTTTCTGGGCAGGTCAATGCGGATGACGGGACCCTCTGTCCGCGGGGCACGGGCGGCCGGCGCCGGCGGGGGACAGGGTCTCACCTGGAAGACGGGCACGCAGCTGTCCCGCTCCCCCAGCGCCCCTTCCCGCTCCCCCCCTGTAGTCCGCGGCAGCGAGCGGGGAGGGCTGGTGACGGCGTCCGTAGGGGACCCCGGCACCGGGGCCGGCCGCTGCCGGAAAATGCAGCCCCCGGAGTGGGGACCGAACATGGGGCCGTTGGGGTGCAAGAGGCAGTAGTAGATGAACATGAAGAAGATGCCGAGGGCGAAGCTGGAGCTGACCACGCAGACGAGGATTAAGGCGTCGAAGTCGGAGGTGGTCTTGCGGTCGTAGTAGAGGAACCAGAGGACGGTGAGGGCGGCGTTCTCCGACAGCGTGATGACGTAGTAGATGCACATGCGGTAGCGGCTCCGTCCCTCCTTGACGTTGAACCAGCAGAAGATGTAGATGATGCCCACCACCATGTTGTAGATGATCTCCTCCCACTTGGACATGCAGAAGTCCGTCTCGCCCTGGATGATCCAGAAGGTCATGATGCACCAGTGGGTGACGATGAAGATGCCGAAGTAGAGCTGGAACACGGAGGCGAAGAGGGCGAAGGCGATGGCGCGGGCGGCGATGGTGAAGAGGTGCCACAGGATCTGCACCACGGCCCCCTTGTAGGACATGGGCATCTTGTCCTCCCGCGAGTCCCGCAGCACCTTCTGGTAGGAGGCGATCATCCACGCCAGGGAGACCAGCGAGGCCGAGGCCGAGAGCCCTGTGGGCACAAAGTGAGGAAGGGTAGTGAGAACCCAGGGCTCCCCCTCCAGCTGCCCCCGTCCCCTGCCGCGGGGGCTGTGTCCCTTACCCTGCAGCGGCTCGATGCTGTTCTGCTGCACCATGATGCTGAGCTGCAGGACGAGCTGGGGCGCGCTCTTCAGGAAGGTCTCCAGCAGGCGCAGCATGCTGATGTCCGCGCTCTCGAACATCATCCTCCAGTAGAAGTGGCGGCGGCGGTGCTCAGCCTGCCACCGGCTCTGCAGCCCCAGGTACAGTGTGCGGAGGTACCTGCGCGAGGGGGTTGGGAGGGTGAGAGGGGCCCCCATCACCCAAGCAGCCGAGCTCATCTCCCTCTGCCCATGCCAGGCATGCCCCATGACTACTGCCAACCCCTGAGCAATTTTCCCCTAATTTGGGGCCATGGAAAGTCCCCCGTGCTGGGGGTGCAGGGAGCTGTAGGGCAGGGGTGATGCTGAGCACATCCCTGTCCCACCCTGGGACCCTGAGATGCCAAGAAGGAGGCAGCTTCTGCAAAGCCAGCTCAGCACCCTGCTGTCCTGGGGCCCACCTGGCCATCACCCCACTGTCCACCTGGCCATCAGGGTGTCCCTGCGCTTCTCAAAGGGGATGTCTTTGTTCCGGCTGGCACGGAGCCCACCCTGCCTCCCCCTGCCCCGGCCAGGATGGAGGCACCAGCTGGTCATGCTGTGGTGCCCGCGGGAAGCTCCTAGGCTCTTGGCAGGGCTACGGGTGCGGGCACACACGGCCCTGGCCATCTGGTTGTTGGCCGGGGGTCAGTGGAGGTGTGCGTGTCACCGACGCACGCACCAGCTGAGTCACCAGCACCAGGGACCCCTCCCCACGGCACGGGGCCAGATCCGGGCACCACAGGAGGGGACAGAGGGCCGGAGAGGCTGGGCATCCCCGGGCAGCCCTGCCTGCACCACCGGCTGGTGGCTCCGCCGCCTCCAGGGGAAAGAGGGAGCCGGATGAGGGGGAAAACAGAAAGATGAAGCGGGAGGATGTCAGGCCATAAAGCTTCCTCCCAGCAGAGTCAAACCATCACGCAGAGCGACGGCCTCTCCGTCAGCTCCGGAAAGCGCTGCCAGCCGACTCCATTAGCCCGGAGTGCAGGAGAAACCCTGATCCCAGCACTTTTGGCTCATCCGTCAGCAGGAGGAGGCAGGAGCCGGCCCTGCTCCTGCTGCAGGAACAGCCCCTTGCTCCCCGCTCCCGGGCTGCACAGCCATGAGACCACAGTGGGTGCCATCCGCTGGGGCCGCTGAGGTCTCTGTGCCACCCTGCTGCCATCTGCTGCCACCCCGGGCAGCCCCATCATCTCCCTCAGCGTGTGGGAGGGCAGGGTGGGCATCCTGGTCCCACTGGGCTTCCGTGGTCCTTCCCAGCAAGGCCACTGATGACCCATTGGCCCCATCAACACCTGCCTGTCCCCTCCCTCCTGCCCTGCTGGAAGCCTCAAAAAGCCCTCCCGAGAGCTGGGCACAGGGCAAGAAGTTGCTGTCAGGAATTAATGTGATTTGACTAGTTCTGCCCCAGTTTCAGCGGGTGCCGATGGCTGCAGGGGCCAGCCCACGGCCAGCCCAGCTCCCGGCCCCTGCCGGATCCTTTGTGCCTGTGTCAAAATGACGCTTTAACCCCCTACCTCGGGGGGAGAGGCTAATTTTAGCCTTTTCTTTGGCCTGTCCCTTGCTCCTGCCTCCCTCTGCTTAATGGCCCCAGGGCAGGGAACACAGATGGGGCTTGTCCATGGCAAAACGCAGTGGGCAATGATGCCAGTGCTCCCAGCCCTGCACCTGGGGGCTCCCAGCACAAGTTTGCACCCTGGTGCCACCTCCTTGTGTCCAACCAGACCAGCGCTGCCATCGTGTCACCTGCCAGGCCACCGCTGCCTTGGCAGTACCATGGTGGCTGCTGCTTCCAGCCCCTCTCCTCCTCAGTCACTGCTTCTGTCCCCGCAGAAGGGCCTGGGGATGGACCCCCCCCTCGCTGGCAGAGTGTGAATTGGGGGATCCCCCTGGGGACAGAGGGAACAGTGTTGGGGGAAGGCAATGGGAGAAGCAACGTAGAGCCTGGGATGCCACAGGGCATCGCTAGCTGGTCCCAGGGCACCCATGCGCGAACGAGACACGGATGCTGGTGACCTCATCCTCTCCCTGTAATCAGCCTCGCTAATTGGGCTCGTCAGCACCGGCATCCTGCCATCTGCAGCACACAGCAGCCTCCCATGCACAGATCCCAGAGCCGCGCCGTCCCCGGCTCCTCAGCCGCTCAACAAGTGACCCGCGGCCTCCCCCAGCTTTCAGCTGGGGCACAATTATCCTCCCGTCTTCCTGTCAGCTCCACAGATCTCATTAAAATGAGATTTCATCTCCCATCAACTTGCCAGAATGAAATGTTGATTCTTGTTTGTTATGCATTTGATCATCCCGTGGTGTTTCAGCCCAGAGAAACATCCCCGCGCTGACGGCGCACGGCGAGCGCTTGCTAACCCAGCGCCGCAGCAGCTGCATGGGAAATACAGAATCAATCACTTGAAAAAAAATATCATTTAATTTTCAAAAAACTGATGATGAGGCAGAAACCAACCGCGAGAGCTCTCAGGGCTAATTGCTGCCTCCTTTGTATTACAAAGAGTAATCCTACGAAGCCCCTGCGGTGGGAAGGTGGTGGGCTCGGGTGGGTGCTGGGTTTGCCAGAGCCCTGCCATGGCCGGGTTTGCCAGAGCCACACCACAGCTGGTTTTGCCACCAATGTCACTGTTTCCTCCCAAATCCCAGCTACTGGCCCCAGTTTTCAAGTGTTGGAAAAAAAGAAGCGCAAGGAGAAAAGCCTGGCCCTGGTTATAACCAAATACACTCATCATCATCTTCAGATGGAAAAGGATGAGGGACCCCCCCAGTCTAAGAGTGGGCGATACGGAGTGTGATTTTCCTAGAAGGTAATTTGGGATATCATCCCTTAATCCTTTATTTAAACAAGGAGAAAATTGCTTCCCTGTTGCAGCCATTTTAATCCCTCACACATCCCGCCAAGTCAGGTCATCAGGGAGAGCTGCACGTGCTGGCACGTCACAGCTTATGAAAGCCCCTGTGTCCCACTGTCCCCCACACCCCAACACGACCCGGGTTCCCGGAATGGATGGGAGCAGCCAAGGCCATTGATCCTCAGGGAAAAGCTAAATCCATCCCTAAAAAGAACCTTTGTCCTGCACACCAGGGCCAGATGGGGACCCCCAGCAAATGAATGACCCCAGCCCTGGGTCCTGCAGCATGACAAGCTGACACCCCAAAACCAGGTGCTCCCAGGGCTGAGAGGGGTCCTGAGCAGACAGAGCAAAGCCCTGGGGAGCAGAGGAGCTGGGGGGTGAACATGCAGGTCCCAGCTCTGCCACCCCTCATGAGCCCACCCAGGGAGCTGCTGAGGGTGCCCACACCCCACGAGGCTGCCACTGGACTGACATCAGGACCTAGGGATGCCACCGGGTCCCCAAGCCAGCAGAGGATGGAGGGACACAGACTGATGGGGACCTTTCAAGGAGGACCCATGGGTGGAGAGGACACCCTGGGTCTGGCCCCACTAAGCCCCGGGCAGCCAAACCAGGTGTGACCCTGGGCTAAAGTAGACACAAGGGCACAATGGGCACAGACAGGGCTGTCCCCAGTGCAATGGGACCCACAGAGACACACTAGCCAGCTGCCAGCCCGTGGAGGTGTCAGGGGACACCGGGCACGCTGCTGGGTGGGAGGCATGCATGGTGTGCACAGCGTCCCTTCCCTGCGGTGTTTCTTGGGTGAAAAAGCTGGTGACTTTCTGCGAGAAGAGCAGATAACCATTCCTGAGTGGCAAAACCATCCAAGCAGCAGCCCCCGAGAGCACTGCTGCTGCTTACACGGGCACATGGTCATGGAGCTGTCACCAGAGAGCATCCGTGGCGGAGCATTTGCACGTGCATCATGACCGCACCGATGACAACTCACTTCAGCAGCTTCTCACAGCGGCTTTAATTTGGGATTATCTCAGTTAGTGCTCGGAGCTGCCTTTGCAGCTGGGAAGCAGCTGTATTTTTGTGATTTGGGGGTCTTTGTCACAGCTGGGGCTCGGGGGTGTGCAGAGATGGATTCGGTAGGGGTGAGACCTGCCAAGGTGATCTCAAGGCAGGAGGAATGCAGGGAAATCAGGGAAGGGAGGATGTTTGGTGAGGGGCACGCTGCCCTGGCCGGGGAAAAGCCTTCCCATCACACACAGCATTTATTCAACGCTGCTTTAACTGCCACATCCACCTGCACCGGATCCAACCGCACTAATGGGTTTAGCAAACTGCATTTAACTGGTCACCCGAGCTAATCCCAAATCCCGAGATTAGAAAGAGCCTCAGCTGCAGCTTGAGACCAACATGTCCTGGAGGGTCAGTGCTGAGAGTTACCGCTTTAATTGGCTTAAGAGCCTCCGTGGTGCAGGAGATCAGGAGAGCACGGCTGACACCACTGGGAGCAAAGCCCCCGACCGCAGCCCAACCCCAGCTCAGGCCAGGATCAGACAATTGCCCAAAGGGTGCCAGGGGCAATCTTAGCAGCCGATGGGCCAGAGAGCTCCAAGCTGTCTCCCTCCCCACCTCCTCCAGGCAGGGTCTGCATGCATCCTACAGCCAGCGTGCCCCAAGAGCTGCCATGAGGATGGAGTGGGATGGGGAAGGGTCAGGTAGAGAGAAGGGGTAGGAGCCTCCCTAGCACAGTGCACACTGCGCTGTGAAACAAAGTTAGACATCCCAGGAGCATCCCAGGAGGAGCAGCAGATGAACGAACGCATGCAGACAACAGCAGGGAGTGGAGGAGCCTCTGTACTACAGTGGCTCAGGAGGGGAAACGGCACCGAAACCTGAGCCGGGAGCGCTGCCTGCTCAGAGCATTGTTCCGGGAATTTGCCATTGTCTCCACTCCCCTCCCAGAACCAGCCTCCCCAGGAAGAAGCTCGGTGCCAGAGCCACGGCTCTTCCCCCCGGCCGGCGCCCTGAGGATGGAGCTCAGCAGAGCTGGGAGGGAGTGGTGCCGGCTCCACGGCACAGGGGAGGAAGGTGCCAGTAAATCGTCAGCTTGGGCTTTGGAGGGTCTGCAGAGATGCAGGCAAAGGGCCTGGAGCCTGCCTGAGTCTGCCAAGCTGCCACTCGCCCTGCCTGCACAGCCTGCTGTGCCCCAGGCCTAGGAAGGGCCAGGCAGCAAAAATGCAGCCCCAGTGGGTAAGCCTGACCGGGCTGGGGGATAAATGGCACCTCCTCACCCACGACCCCACAGACTACAGTGAGCTCTGAGCAGGAGCATGGGGAGGTGCCTGGGAGGACGATCCAAGCCCCAGGTGCCTGGCAGAAGCACTCCACACCCCCTGGCACCCGGCTGTCACAGCCAGGCAGGCTCCCCAGTAGGCCCAGCACTGCCCAGCCACACGGACAGCAGGCCTGTGCCACCCAGCTGGGCTGCAGGCTCCTCACGCCAGCTCCTGCCTGCACCCACAGCTCCTGCCTGCACCCACAGCTCCTGCCCACACCCACCCGCACCCGCAGCTGGGCTCTGCCAGAGGCTCTTCCCCACCACCCATCCTGCTGTGGCTGCAGAGGAATTGATCCCCGTGCCCCCCCAACCCCAAGCAGCCTGTGCCCCTGCTGCACCTCGCCATCCCCACCCACTTCCCCCCCATGCCCTGCCCTCCCCACCTGTGTCCTCTGTGCTGCACCCCGTTATCCCCACCCGTGTCCCTGCTGCACCCTGCCACTCCCTCCAGCCTCAGCCTGGCTCCACAACCTCTCTGCCTCCAGGCCTGCCCCGGCTGCAGCAGAGGGATGAGGCCCTTCAACATCCCCATCCCAGTCCCCTGGCTGCCCTGTGCCCCCATACCCTCATGCCTCCAGACCTACCCCAGCTGAAGCAGGTGGACAAGACCCCACAGCAGCCCCTGAGCCCCATCCTGGCTCCTTGTCCTCCCCATCCCCACCCTGTCTGTGTCCTTCATTCCCTACTCCCA